ATAGACAAATTATTTGAATAAGATTGTAGTTTTGGGACAGGTACGTATGACGTGGCGACCAAGCCAGTGATGAGTGGGCCGGGTGAGATAAATATACATTTTGAATGTATTCCTTATCCTTTTGTATGTTTTCCTTGATAAATTTAAGGATAAAAAGTAATTTTGCTACAACATCTACATATATCCTTTTTAGTTTTCAAGAAAAGTAATAAAAGAAAAGGAAATAAAGGACTTGAGGAAATATGTGGATGTGTGTGTGTGTCTCCCACGTTGATAATGGAAAAAAATAGGACCTTCGGCTTTAATTATAAATAGTTCGATTAGAAGGAGAGTAAATATCTAATCACTTTTATGACTACCTCATGAATTCTCTCATTTATCTGGAGCCTGGATGAGGAAGCTTAATTATTAGGGAGTTTTTGAAATTGAGTCCCACAAAACACTCCCCCCCCCCAAAAAAAAAAACAAAAGGTTTTATTCTTTAACTTCTTGTGAAATTTAGAGATCCTTCATGAGAGAGAGAGTAGAATCAGCTGCTTCAACTTCTCATTCTGATCAATTTGCATCTTACATGATTCTCTCGTGACTAGATGCCCAAAAATTCCAGTTTGAGATGTCATCTAGATCTTCATGTTTCTTCCACTTTGAATCATACATTAATTTTTTCTTTGGGTGTTTCTTTCTGACTTTGATTTCCAACATGCCTCAAAGGGACTGATATCCTCTTAGCGGCAGAACCTGATGGCCTTTTTGTGAGCAGAGACAGACATACGCGTGACCCAACATCATCAAACATTAGCCCACAAGGATTCTGAATCCAGTGATGACAGCACTTTAAATCTTTCGTTGGAGCAAAATAGAAAATTAAAAAGCACTCTAAATCTTCAACATGAGCTAACTTTTTTAACTTTTGATATAACTCATAGTATCTTCAAATCACTTTTGATTTGAGGCTAATATCTATCAGGTCGGGAACATAAGGTTAAAGCTCTTCAACAAGTGCGCTTCTCCAAATTTAAACTTGTATTCCCTCTTTACGGGAGTGTAGGATTACTTACCACATTAATTAACTGCTTATTGGTTGGGTTAAAGCATTTTAAGACTGATTCTGAATAGTAATAATTTATTGAAGTCCAATTGGGATATCAGAATCAGGTAACAGCGTAGCTGATGCTGTAATGAACGGGCTAAATCATATAATGGGCCGAGACTGCGAGCCACTGGGCTTATGAGAGGTCGACTGAAATGGTACGAGCAGCCAAGGTACGAGCATCGAAGAATTATCTCAGAATCATTTTCCCTCTGGATTCTCTTCCCTTCCCGTGGCATCTCTTTCATCTCTTCCCCCGAAACTCTTCTTACTGTTATTGGTCTCCGAATTCCATTATTTAGACTTGTAACCGATACAAACATGACTGAATGAATATACGCTGAATATATATATATATATATATGATGTTTTGCAGTTTCTCGGCAGTCTGGCCTAATCACTAATTGTTTCTTCTTTGTTGCGAAGGGTGTTCGTTACGGATTCTCTAGCAAAGAAAGGGATTTCTAAATCCTCGACTTTTGACGCGTGCCCTGCAGATTTAAGAGCCCTTTGCAGAAGGACAGTATGGGATATAATCCCCTTCCTCTTTAGCTTTTAGTTGGGCTTTGCTCTCTTTTGTATAAAAGAAAAAACACTTCTGCCATGGGATCAGACATTCCAAATTTGATCACTGATAGGTGGGCCTAACCGAATGGGTTAATCCTGGCCGAAAAAAAGAGAGAGAGAAAAATACAATGATCACCTTTGTGCTTTACTTAAATTATGAAAACTTCCCTTTTATTTTAAAATGTATATGAATCTTTCTTCAAACTAAAATATATGTTATACAAACCTCCTTTGTATATTTGTGATTTCATTTTCATCTATCTAAAATTTAAGTCTTAATTTTTTATTTTGACCAAAGTATCCCTCTTTAACATAAGAATTATTTAACATTTATTTTTATTTTTATGCTAAACATTTATATCAGTTTAAAAACTAATTTTTATACGACCAAAAATTATTTTAGTACATCTACTTTCAAACCTTCTAACATGTCATAAAATTTATTAATTTTGATTATATTATAAAATTTTATAAGTTTAATTTTTCATCTCATCAATTCAAATCTATTTATTTAGCTTTCTTTTAAATGACCTGGTCAAAAGAAGCTTTCTTTTAAATGACTAAAAATATTTCAAATGAACCTTTTTCCACCATATAATATAAAAAGTAAGTTTGAGACATTATATAAATAATTTTTATTTAGTCATTAAAATTTTTAAACAAAATCTCTGTTACAAACGTTTATAAACATTTTTACTTAATTATAAATTTATTTTAAAAATTAAATGTTAAGTCCATATAAATTAAGATTTTTAAGTTTTTGTCCCAGAAAATTAAAAAATATTTTCAAAAAAAATAAAATTAACGACAAGAACAAACTTTGAAATATTCTTCAAAATAATTTTAATTAGAAATACTGATGAAGTATAAATTAGTAAATAAGAATTTTTTAATAAAAATTTTAATTTAATAAGGATCTTTTTGAAATATTCTCAACGTAGCTAACAATTTATACTTAATTGTATGTTTGCAAAATAGAGAGAAGGTCAATGTAATTAAACTAAAATACAAGAGAGGTTAGCATATTTTATTTTAAGAAAAACATTCGAAATTTGTGAAATCCTTTTTCTTGTCGAAGAAATTTGTGAGATTGAGAGAAAGAAGAGAAACAGGAAGCAAATGATATATTTAAATATATACGATAACATTTATATCAGATTTCTTAGACACATTATATTAAGTTCTTCAATAACACATATTCATGTGTTATTAGATAAAATGGACGCTAAGAACTTGATATGAGCACTTTCTATATATTTATTAATTAAAAAAAGTAAAAACATATAAAGACAATCTTTCCCTGCAAGTAATTCAAATGACTATAATTTAATCATAATAATTTTTCTATTTTGATTGAAAAATGAATTTGAGTATATAATTAATCCAGCCAATCGTTTATTAACAAAATTCCAACTAATCAATTTTATATCCTTTTGATCAAGAAATTGATTTTTGAATCTACTTTATTACAAAAATCTTATAATAACCAATGAAGCTAAAATGGGAGGAGCACACCATTTAGATAAAACGAAATGGGTGGGCTGAATTATAATTATGAGGTACTCGTAATATTTAGTTCAAGTTTGTTATATCCGTTAGGCCAAATTTATGAGCAAGTTTGTAAGTACACATACATAATTTAACAATTAACAGTATCTGAATACCAGAAATTTATACTCCTCCAGTTCTTAATATAAGACTCATTTAACTAATTTGATTAGATTAAAAAAGTTAGATAAGTTAGTTAATTATAAAAAATATGACACGTTTTTCTTAAAATACCACAATCATCTTTCTTAATATCCTCTCTTCCTCTTCTATTTGATTATAGTTGAAGGAGTATCCATACGGGTAATTTAGAGAAAATTGATAAATATGTCTTATATTTAGGATTAAAACAAACTCAACAATTGAGTCCTGTATTAAAGACCGGAGGAGTATTTCATATGTGAATTTATAAATACATATTAGAGAGTGAGACGAAGTAGGAGGCGAGGGTGAGAAATGTAAGAATGGAAAAGGGTGACGAGTGATGATATATAACAGTTTTATCACATAAAAAAAGGAGCCATATGATAAGAGAATGAGACATGGAGTATGAAGTGGAGAGTAAGGGTGCTCAATTTCATTCATTTTACAACGAGATAGTTCCGTCTTAACAATTTTTGGAACATGCTGTTCTAATCTCATCATAATATCCTACCTTTTATTAATTTTATAAATTTATTTTACTTATCGTTATAATAATATTATAATTTTTATAATTATGTTGGTTACAATTTATAATTTTTTTATGGGTTATATGAGTTTTTAACTGGATGTTTTGATTCATAAGTAAACTTTCTTCTTCAATTACTGCCAATTTTTACCCTATTCTTTATCTATTTTCTTCGTATAATTTTTAAAATAAGTTCTTATATTCTAAATATATTTGGTTTTGAAATAAAAAAATATAAAAAAAATTAAAAACAAATATGGGACACTCTGGTCCCATTTTAGGATGGGACACAAGAAAGAAAGCTGATCTTATCTTAATTATTGGGATGGGATCAGAATAAGGCTGTCTCGGTTTTATCCCATCCTATGAACATCCTAAATTCCTAATAGAAAGGCATGAAGGTGTTGATAGTTGAAATTTAAATCTCTAAATTGTAATTAATCAATTCAAATCTCTTCATTATCAAACTAATTCTTATTTTATTAGTGACGGAAAGATTTTTTTTTTCGCAATTAAAATTATCACATATTTTTTTCCCAGTAACATTTTCGGAATGGGCCGTTGAGTCTCTTTATATTTTAAATACACAATTTAAATAATGAATTCATTGAGATGACAACAATATTTTTACACCCCAATTCCTATCTGCTTCGTTTGGGAATGCGTTCAAACATGATAAAAACCATGTTAATAACTGCATCTATTCCATCTCTCATCCCCCTCTCCCATTCCCAATTCTTCTAAAATTCTTTTCAGACTACCAGACTAGAAAATAATAAAAGTGAGATATGATGAAAGTGTGAAAATATTTTTAATATTTATTATCAAATTAGTTAAAAAAATTGTGACAGTACACTTCATAATAACTAGAGAAATTGAAGAATTCGTAGGCAGTCATCATTAATATGATGATAGTTCAAGCAAACTCTAGCTCAGAGCAAAATCATGTCCCATTAAGATGACAAGTGGGATCAATTATAACAAGTCACAACACATTCATATTATTGATAATGAAAAGAGATAACACATATTCCATGTCCAATGTATAACGAAATCCTAGATAACGATAATATTTAGTGGGCATCATAATGTCTGTTATGCCCATGGCAAATACCCGGGGGGGGGCCCAAAAAAGGTCCTTGAAAAGAAAAATATGATAAAACACATGCCAAAGCAAAGTTCAGACAAGAGTCATATCTCATTACTAAGAATGCTTAAAAACGAATTACATGACCAAACTTGCTCTTGCATCACTAAGGTGCTTACTTGAGAATCCGACTGAACCAGCTAATTCACCTTGTGACTGTGTTCACTTATGGCGAATAGATGCCACCCAGTCCTTGTCAAAGCCAAAATGTTCCAATAAATCACACAGATATTCAAATTGCTTCCTTTTTGATTCATCCATCATTGTCTTTGGAATGTCTGATTTTAGAAATTCCAACATGTTAGCTAAGGTTTCGTATCCCAACTTGCAGGTCATGGGATCCTTTTGCGAGATCTTCCATTCCAGTAATTGTGGATATTTGACAAAAGCCTCTTTTAGCAAAAGAGCTCGTCTTGCCTCAATCTTGAATAGACCATGAAAATCAACCAGGTCCTCTTCTGAAGGGTGTTGATCAGATATCGCAGAGGAAGTCGATGCTTCTATACTTGGTGAAAGCATGGTTGGATGCAAAGGCAAAGGAGCTATAAATAAAAAGGATATATCAGAAATTATGGGCAACTTTGAATGATATATTATGGTATTAGTTCTGTTTTGGGCAGTTCAAAAGATACCTTTGTATTTTTCTTGAGCATCTTTTGAGTCCTTCACAACCAGTGGTTTTTCAAGTTCAACATGTGCTTGTGTCTCAATCAAGTCCTATATATCAGCCAACAATTTAAGTCTTTCAGCTTGTATTCTACATAACGTTGACCTATAAAGAACAGTGTAATGAACCTACCAGTGATGAAGTTCCCACTTTTGATCCTTCTGCTGCAGGATCTTTACGAAGGATTTCCTCCTCTGCACATCAATTGTCAAATGATATAGTTTAAATGCTAAGTTGACTTCAACGAGAAAACTTAGTACTTAAGTTCACTGTATATTTTTAATATAGTTTTGCACGAGACCCAAAAATGTTTTGACGGCAAGCATTAAATTAATTTTTCAAAGTAGAGGAATATAGATAGTTAAGAATTGAGTGAAACAATGACTACCAAAATAATAATTTAACTCTTAAAAAAAAAAAAAGAAGCTGTGTACTGAGAGTAGTTGGCTAATAGTGAAAAGTAATACGGGTCAAGATACACCTGCTCTCGACAGCCTCATTGGAGGGTCGACAACTTTAGATTCTTGTAACTGAGGATGATTCTCTGCAGCCGCTAGAACTTCTTAATGTAAAATTTTCAGAAACTATTTGTTGATATAAGAAGCATCAAAAGAATATGCAGATAAAAATAATCAAGAAATCCATACCAGAAATGCCATCCTGCTTCAGAAGGTAAAAACTTGAATTACTTGTGCCAACGCTACTTGGATTATCAACTGGAATTGTAGAAGCGACAGTAGCAACACCTTTGCCTTTCTTTGAATATGTTAACGCAGCACGTGATGGCAAGGAGTAGTTTCCTGCAGAAGAATTTCCAATCACTGTCTCATAGACTGCATCTTCTGAAAGCAAACTTAGAGAAGACAATTTTTTAATGAATTGTTTCGCGAGCTATGTAAATGAGGTCTTCTACACACCTGGGCTTTTGTGTTCTCTTGGCAAGTCTTCTGGCTCTAACATAGCAGATAATGTTTGTTTTAGATTCGGACAGTCACATACACGAAGTAGCTCACATCGCAGTCTAATCCCTTGGCAGAAAATAATCAGATTTGGCAGCTTAACCAAACGTAAAGTTTTGAGACTTGGAACCAGGTCTTTAGAACCACCTTGAGAAATTTCCTTGCTCTTGCCCTTTATTACATACTCCAAATCAAAGCAATCTTCTATTTCCAAAGTGTTCAACCATGTCATTGTTTCTGCGGTCGATTCTGTGAACAGAGATCTCAGCCTTGGACATGATTTTACAGTCAGCCTTTGAAGATTTGATAGATTGAACGAGTCTGCAAACAGTAGACCTTTGATAGTTTTGGACCTGTCCCCTTCACATACTTGGATAAGACTAGGAAGATCTTTCAAATTTAGGTAGCTAAGCTCTGGAAGTATAGCTTGGACACGGTCTTCCCTTGCTTCCTCGCTTGAACATGCTATCCCTTCATTCATTAGAACTTCCATTCCATGACACCCTACTATCTTCAAAGTTCTAATTGTTCTCAATGTTTTAGCTGTTGATACACTGAACAACGACCTCAACATCGGGCAAGATTTTACTGTTAACCTTTCGAGTCTGCATATGTCGCTGAACGGCCCTGAAAGTAATCATACAAAGATGCTATTATACCAAATGTATAAAAAATATTATTTAAATATTTTGTCCTTCTGAAAAAAGTGTATCTGAGTGTACCCGTGTACCCACTATCACTATCATTGTCAGCAATGATTTGCACCAGCTGAGAACAGTCTTCTATTGCTAGATCACGCAGTGAAGATATGTATGTCATCATCCAGAGCGGGATGAGTTTTAATTCCCCACATTTATAAAATTTCACTCTTCGAAGGCTGAGAAGTTGTTTATGACCATCACATATGTACCTCACATGAGGCAGATTGTTCAAAGCCAAACTTTGGAGGGATGACAGTAAAAGTGAATTTGATTCCATATTAATGGCAGCATGTTGCGTAAATTGAAAAATGCCTTCCACTTCGCAGTTTTCAAGATGAATGCTTTCTACACTTTGCACAGCTATTTCGCTGTTATGTCTTGGCGCAAATTCCAACTCCTATAACAGGGTCCATATGATCAATAAAATAAAAATATCATGAAGGGTAAAAAAGAAAATAATTATCCCTCAAAGAAGCAAGCTTCTTATATGAGTGTGCGTGTATACATCAACAAACTAGTATTACCTTTGTAAACTTGTCACCATCTTGCTGACTCACTTTTGAATCTAAATTAGATATGCTACTCAGCTGTGAACATCTCCTAATGCATGCTTTAACAATATTTGGCCATGTTATTTGACAATTTTGCGGACAGATGTTAATGATACTTGGCAAGTCAGTCAGCTTCAACACTTTTAGAACGGGAAGATCAATGATCATCTGAATTCCATTCCGACTTTGAATTCCTTCATGATTGTATATGCCAAATATGTACTTCAACTCACCAGCATCTTCGACTTCAAGACTTTCCAGCTCCAAAAAGCCAACAAAAGATGCTGGCAATATGAATTCCAGATGGTCACATCCCTTAACGCTGACTTGTTTCAGCTGTGGGAACAGAGGCCCTAACGAAATAATGTCATCTTCCTCCTCATCTTTTATGACATGTTTCAGTGCACTGCAATCTCTTACTTTGAGAACTTCCAACAATACCATAGTTCGAGCAGTGGCACATGTGAAGATAGATGTCAGCTTTGGACAATCCTCCAATTGTAAGTGCTTGAGATTACACAGGTTAAGCGTGCCCACGGAGACAATGCAATGCAATTGGCTACTTTCCACAATAAATAGCTCCTCTAATTTCTCAAAAAGACCAAAAGGAGGCGAACCTCGGCACAAGACTTCCAAGCACTTCATGCTTCTAATTCTCAGCTTCAGTAACCTGGGGAAGACACTTTTAGCCTCATATAGCTTGTAATGAGTGGTGTCAATCAGACATTCTATGTTGTCTGAATCATGAAGCAAAAGTTCTGTTAACTCGCTCATACAATCTCCGTTTGCTGGAATCATGTCAGGAATGATGTTTTTGCAATCTCCATGGATTTTTTCCTGGTAAAAAACCTCCAGTTGCTGTGCCAGATTCTTGATAGCTTCATTTGCCGTAGAGACATTAAAACCATTTAAAGATATGAATTTGGAGGTCGCTTCATGCTTCATGGTATCAATGGAGCTTCCAATTTCTAGATGATACTTTTTCAATACCTTCGAAGAGCCAATTCCATGAAATAATTCGATGATATTCTGATCATTTGACTCCGCTTCCTGAAGATTGTTTTCAATAAAATACAGCTCTTCCAGTCGAGAACATCTTGCCAACACATCAAAAGGATTGCCTCCCATTTTGCTCCCTGATATTTCCAACAATTTTAACTTCTCTAGATCCACTAATTCTTTCGGTAACTCGCTGATTACACAGTATAATAGCTCAATGGTATCAAGCATCTCCAGGTTTCCCAAAACAGATATGTCGCCCAACGTCCATCCTCTCAGGCAAAGAGTTCGCAGCTTTTTTAAACTTCTAATTGATGGGGGTAGCAATAGTTTTGGGGTTGTCAATACAGAAGCAGATATTATGGCGAGCACCTTGAGCTTTGTTGTCTGCTCGAAAAAATTATCTGGAAATCTTGGTGAGCGACCATCATTATGGGAGACAACTAAAATCTCAAGTTGAGGGCAGTTTAAATGATGTCGAAATTCATTTACATCTTGGCAATATAATCTTCTTTTATCTTTCACTGAATCCCTCTTTATTAGGGCATTTATATTCTTTTTATGCCCCATAATCAGTTGCGTATCTTTTGCTGACGACAATGCTACCTTAAGCACCAAGGTGTGCATGTGACAGTGTCCTTCTTTGGATTGCAGTAACAAACAACAGTTATCCATTTCGGTGATGGCTCCATGCACGATGTCTCTAGCTCTTTGATGTGAGTCAATATTTTCAAATAGACTCGATCCAAATGCAAATCTGGTCAAGATTTCAGGGGAAATTTTTGAACCTTTCGGGAAGAGAGCACATAATAAGAAAAGTGAGCTTGCTTGATCCTGCAACTCATCAACACTAAATTTCAAGCTACGATAAACCATTTCTTGTTCGCTTCCGAAACCAAGGGCTGTAGAATCCCTCAGTTCTTCCAATGCTTCCTCCCACACAGTTGCGTCTTTGCCCTTTAAAGCTCGAGCAATAGCTAAAATTGCAACCGGTAATCCTTGACACTCTTCAACAATCTGTCGTGCCACACCTTCAGAGCTATCTTCTATTACACCAACATGCCTTTGGAATAAACTCGAAGCTTCCTCTTTGGTTAGAAGTGACAAGCAGACCTCTTTTTGACAACCCATCAAGGGAAATGTTTGGTGTTGCCCAGAAGCCAGAATAACCTTGCAATTTGCATGAAGGGGAATCCCTATCTCTTTAAGATCAATCAGGCTCCACATATCATCTAGGACTAGAAGAAATTTGCCACCCATTTTAAATCTTTGGTGCAATCTTGCAGCCTTTCCTTCTTCAGTTTCCTCTATAAGCAGCAAGCCTAACCAGTCTGCGATAGTGGCTCGAACACTTCTGACATTTGGATACGGCCCTGTCACATATATCACGTCGTCAAAAAGTTTCAAGCCTTTTACAGCTTTGCACACTCCCATGAGCAGGGATGTCTTACCGCAACCTGCTATTCCAGAAAGCCCAATGATATTTATGCGATCATCATTTAGTGCCATTAAGAGTTCGTCGCTGGCCTTTTTTGTAGACTCAAAAAAAAAGAAATCTTCAGAACTGCTGCTTTGGTATTGGGCTATGGGCTGTGAGTCCTGTACAGAAGAGGATTTGCCTTTATGATCCGTCTGCGATGGATGAATTGCTGGGGAGCATGCATTCAGCCGCTTCATTTTCTTTGTCGTCTTTGCTAAACGCTTGCCTTCATTAAATGGACACATCCAGTTGGGGGAAATCCCACAAGAATAACTCTTGCTTGCTTCCGCTTCGCCTTCCAGTTTCTTCACTTCTTCTATGACCTGTTCTGCTTTCTTCAGCCATGGCTGAACATCTCCAGAAAGCTTTACAGTTTTAGCTTTGACTTCCTCAATTTGAGCCAGTAAATTCCTTTTTCCATTTTCAAAATCTGTAACATTAGCATTAAATCGAGCTTTCCGCGTTGCTGATCGTGCTATAGACTTAATTCTTAAGTCCTAAAAAGTGAACACAATAATAGATAATTAGGTAGCCATTGATGCAATAGCTAGGCTAAGTCTATCTAATTATAATCACACACAGATTAAACATTTGCATTACCCGCTTTGTGGCTTCAACACCATCTGAAGGCGCAGACACGCTGCTTAGTTGTGGACATCTCACTATATATGGTTTATTCAAAGATGGATATTCCATCACATAATTTTGTGGGCAATAATCAATGATACTTGGTAAGCCAATGAGCTTGAATACTTTCAAAGCAGCAAGTTCAATGAGTTGGGTCTGATTTTGATCAGCTTCGTAATTGGATTTACCAAATA